TTCTTTAGGTATATTGTGTGCTGCAATGGTGCATGCAGATAGGCAGTTTCTACATCTAAGTGATTTATGATATAGTTCTTCTTAGCTGCCCACACTAAAGCTGCTCTCAAGGTTGTTGCTTTTAGACTCAGTGCAAATACTTCATCATAATCACTTGCAGTTTGATTAAATCCTTGAGCTACCAACCTAGCCTTATGGGTAACAGTTCCATATTTACCTGTTTTCAATTTAAATATCCATTTACAGCCAATGGATTTTTTACCTGGAGGTAATTTAACGTTTTCATAAACTTCCATTTGTTTCAGTGAATTTAGTTCCTTCTCCATTGCTCTATGCCAATTTTCTTGATCCTTTGCAGGATACATTCTAAGTTCTTCAACAGTAGTTGGAACTTTACTAACTTGGCAAACTACACTTGCTTGGTACCTGTCAGGTGGTCTGGTTTCACGTGTTGATCGTCTAGATATTACAGGACTTACAGGTGGACTTTCATGTACTACTTGTTCCTGTTTATCTACCTCATCCTGTTCATCTATTCTTTCCTGTTCTGGTTTTATGAGCTCTTCCTGTACTTCTTCTTTAATTGTACTCTTTTGCTTACTGATATATTGTTTTGATCTTCTATAGGTTTCAATGATTATATCCTTACTTGAATCTTGCTCCAGTTTTCCCATCCTACATGTTCAAGGAATTGTGCACTAGCACTACAGTAAATGCTAGATGTACCTTTTTCCCAGAATCTGTATGATTTGTGATTAGATTCATAACCTACAAAGAATAACTTTTTAGCCCTATGCTGCCCCTTATGTCTCAGTTGTGTAGGAATGTGCACCCATGCTGGTGCTCCAAATGTGTGCATGTAGCTTAGGTCAGGTTTTCTACCATGCCACCATGTGAATGGTAATTCACCTGTTGTTGTGTTAACAACATTATTTAATATATGATTACCACACATTATTGCTTCTCCCCACAAAGTTTCAGGTAATCCTGAATCTGACAACATAGTACGAGCCATTGCTTGTATTGTTTGGCCTCGTCTTTCTATAAAAGAATTATGTTGTGGCCTATATGGTGCAGACTTTTTATGTTCAACACCTGCCACCTTCAGTCTATTTTGGAATTTATTATTTATAAATTCCGTACCATTATCAGTTACAAGAGTTACTAGTTTTCTTTTAGTTTTTCTTTCAGCAAACTTCAACCAATTAAAGAAATTCTGATATGTTTCCGTTTTACTCTTCATTAAATAACAGAAACCATATCTTGAGTAATGATCCATTATGCTTAATATATAACGAGCACCTCCCATACTAGGTTTTTTAGGACCTATAATATCAGCAAATACAACCTCTAGAGGCTCTTTAGTTTTAAATCCATTAATTCTATTTGCTGGTATTACCTTGCTCTTTTCTTGACTGCAAGCATTGCAGTGCAAATACTTACTGCAAGGCTTCAGTTTTATACCTTCAGACAGTTCAATTGTTTGCTTGAGCATTTTAAAATTTATATGCCCTAAACGTCTGTGTAGCAAATGTATGCATTCGTCATGAGGCTTAACGTTATTATACACTGTATTAGCCACCTCTAATTGATTATCATTCAATACATACAATTCATCTTTTAAAGTTGCAGTCACTTTTTTACCTTCCTTTTCTATTATGCAGTTTTCTCCCCTAAAGGTAACTACATAACCTAGTTTAATCAAAACTCTAACTGAAAGCAAATTAAACTTAAGTTGTGGTACATACAACATTTTAACCTTTTCTTTTATACACGAACAATGTGCAATACCTTCAGCTTTTGCTTTCATTTTCCAGCCATTAGCTAACGATATCTGTTGTGAACTCGTTGACATCTTAATAAATCTTTTCTTATCTTTTGTTATGCAGTGCGATGCTCCACTATCTACAACCCATAAATTATTATTTACAATTTTGCTGCTATACATGGCTATTTCAAAAAAAAAAAAAAAAAAAAAAATTCATCTTTTTGATGCTTTTTGGCATTCTGGCGTTTTCCTTTTTTGCAGAATCTAGCCAAATGTCCTTTTCCTCCACAATTAAAACATTTTTTAATTGTATAGGTTGTTGAAGATAATTTCTCTTCTTGTGGTTGTTCCCTTCTCAGTTGATCCCTTTCAAGCCTTCTCCTGGCTTCTTCAATTAATCTGCCAGTAATGTCAGTTAATGTGAGGTTATCTTTTGGCAGTACTTCCAGTGAAGTTACATAGTTGTCATAGCTCTCATCTAACGAAGACAAAATTATATAAACCTGATGCAGTTATGTGAAGATAAGTTCTTTTTCATGCAGTTCCTGAAAAATCCATAGTGTTTATATGAGTCAACATGTCTCCATTCTTTTGAAGATGTGTTCTGAACAGCCTCCGTGTAAGATTTATATGTGCTCCTACACTGTCTCGAACATAAATCTTCTTTAAATTCTCCCAACACTTAGCAGCTGTTTCTTCTCCACGAATATGGATAAGCTGCTGGTCACAGAGTGTCTGTCCTATTATACATAGAGCTTGCTCATTTTTCAGTTTATATTCATTTATTTTCTGGGCATCATTCTCATCTTCCGGATCCCAATCATCTACCTCTGGTGGGTTTTGAATTATATTCCACAAACCTTCTCTGCATAGAAGTAGACTGCATTTCATAGACCATGAAACATAGTTTGTTCCATCCAGTTTGGATATTAGAGACAAACTTGGTAAATTGACTTGTGCCATTTTTCTTTGGATATTAAATAATAATAAACTAATAAAACACAGCTGTCTGTTTACAGTATTGTGTAACTACACTAACTCTCAATTTATATAAGCCTGTTGTATCCTGGTTAGTCTGACTGTGCAGCCTGGGCCCATAACCAGTGCTAGGGATATACCCTAGCAGAATGTGCACAGCAGTCAGGCAGTCAGGCGAATATGAGAGAAAGCGTTTTTTAGTTTACACACTCAGTAAAAACGGATACACTGTCTTAGTTGAATAGTTTATTCCATTAAGAGTTTAGCAGGGTCAAACAGTCCAAATATCATTCACTAGTGTTCAGTCAGTTCAGTCTGGAGATTGTTCAATTGCAAAAATCCAGTGTCGAAAAAAAAGGTCAGTTAACTTACAATGTCAATATAAATCAGTCCAGTAAATTTCTTCTCACAGTAGATTAGATATGCAGCATTCAAAACTCTTTCCTCCTTCGACATCAGCAACAGGGAACACGCAGAACAATCAACCATCAATCCAGTAGCAATCCAGGTTCTCTAGCTCCCTTTTATGGCAGTTTCTCAACTGCACCCAAATTATATCATTTAGAGTTTAAAGTGAAAAAACACATTTAAACTTTGCTATCATGGTTTATATATTATTTACCCAAACAACGTTAGGTAACTATGGTTATTCCTAACAACAGTGTTTTAAGTTTTTACTTGTACATCATAGAGAAACTCACCTGGAGTGAGATGGTCTCCGAAGTTTGATAAATAAATAAATTTTATTGCTGATTTTATTTTTTCATTTATAAACTAGTGGAAAAAAGTTGCAGGACTTCAGAAATAAACTCATGATTTTGACCACTGCCAGAAAGATATTTGAGGGATACTTTAACCTTGATTTTTTTGACAAATGTTTGCACACAACTGTTTACAAGGTAAAAGCATCACTTGTCCTATTCAAAGACATTAGAAGACACTGCAGAAAGTAAATTTGGGGGTAAGAAACAATAAGAAACAACAATTTATGTTTTTATTAAAATTTTATTTGATAGCATGGAGATAAAATAAGATAGCAAGAAGGTCTATGTTTAATATTGCAGAAATGTTATGACATGTATACATTCTCCATTCTATAATGACCTGAACTAAAGGCACAATTACTCTACATGGCTAGCATATGATATTAGAACCTGGCAATACACAGAGAAAAATGCATTATTTAATCATTATTTTTATTAATTACACCTTGTTTACTTCAAGTCTCAGCAGAGTGAGGAAGCATTTAAAGGAAAAAGACACACACAAATAAATCAGCACTGGAGGTCAAGGTGAAAAAGATCTCCACAGCCACCATATTTTGTGGTTCTGCTCACATAGGCTGTGGTTGTGCTCACAAAGATTGGCACAGAGGAAATGCATACTGCAAAAGACCAACATGTTAAAGGGGGTGAACTTAGCTTCATTGAAGCTTGCAGGTATTTTACAGGCAGATGAAGTCATGATAAACCTTGTGAAAGCTATGTGGCCTATACAGACAGAACAAAGTAAAACTTTAAAACTGTCTATGGCAGGGGTGTCAAACTCAATTTCTTTGAGGGCTGCATCAGGTTTTATTTGACTTGGAGGGCCAAGGTGGGTGTGGCCAGCTTGAAATTACTCGGGTCGGGGGTGCCTGTGGTGGTCTCTGCCATTGAAAATGGGATCCCACACTCTGTTTTCAGCTGCCACAACCTCCAGCAACCCCCTGCCACTGAAAATGGAGCTCAGAAAAGCGATGTGCAACCCTCCCAAGCTCTGTTTTTGCTGGCAGAGGCACTGTGGGCCGGTCCTTGGCTGTTTTCAGGGTGGCCCTGTGGGCCAGATCTAAGCACTCCATGGGCCAAATCTGGCGCCCTGGCCTTGAGTTTGACACTCCTGGTCTAAAGAGAATCTCAGTCATTCAGATCATTTTGGTCCCAAACTTGCTTTTTCAAAAGGCAACTGGACTTTCTTCTTATTATTTTTTTGGGGTGGGGGGGAGGAAAGCTATTTCGCTTCTCATCCAAGAAACTTCTTCAGCTTCTTCTTCTTCCTTCTTAAAAAGGACCTTTGGAATGACCTTCATTACATTGTTGAATCACTTCTTCAGTAACTAAGGACAAACCTAATTTAGGAAATGGAGGAGAGATTATAACTACATAAAACAAATGTTGGCTTTGAAAGTTGGAAGGAAGATTGAAAAGGGATAGTGTTTAATTTTTCTTTGCTAAATCCTTCCCTTTTTCTTCATAAATAATGATGTAAATATAATTTAATTGTTTCGTTTGATTAGTTGGTGCCTGCTATTTAGTTCTGGCCTCAACACAATGATGAAGCATTTTGGGAAAAAGATGCATCCCAATAATCCAGCACTGGAGGATAAGATTGGGAAGATCTCCACAGCTACCATGGCTTTTCCTCTGGTGCCCAGATAGGTTGGAACAAAAGAGATCCAAACACTGCAGAAAGCCAACATGCTGAAGGTGATGAACTTGGCTTCATTAAAGCTATCAGGTAAATTACGGGCAAGAAAAGCCACAATAAAGCTGGCGATGGCCAAGAAGCCCAGATAGCCCAGCACACAATAGAACATGAAGATGGAACCTTCATTGCATTGCAGAATCATAGTTTCCATGAGGATCTGCATATTTAACTCAGGATAGGGAGGAGATGTTGCCAACCATATAATGCAAAGGACTGCTTGAAGAAAAGAACAAGAAAAGACAATGGAAAGAGCCAATCTTTTTCCCACCCATTTTCTCATTGAAGAACCTGGTTTAGTAGCCATGAAAGCTACAACCACCGTAATAGTTTTAGCTAACACACATGAAACAGCAACTGAGAAGATGATGCTGAATGCTGGTTGCCGGAAAAGGCAGGTTACTTTCCCTGGCTGACCAAGGAATAACAAGGAAGAGAGAAAGCACAGTAAGAGGGCAATAAGGAGAGTGTAAGTGAGGTCCCGGTTATTGGCCTTGGCAATGGGGGTATCTCTACGCTTAAGAAAAATTCCAAGCACACTGACTGTCATGAAGGAAAAGGAAACAGAAGCTGAGGCCAGACTGATTCCTAAAGGTTCTTCAAAAGACAGGAAACTCATTGTTTTGTTAAGGCATCGATCTTGCACTTTGCTTGGATACTGATCCTCAGGACATTTGAAACAATCTTCTGTGTCTGGATAAAAAAAATCAAATGGAAACTCACTGATGTCCTATTTACCACATTTCAATGAATTTTTTATACTATTGCTTGAACATTGATATTGATTCTGCGATTAGTTTTTTGTATACTTATATTAACAGAATAGCAGAATTGGAAGGGACCTTAGAGGTCTTCTAGTCCAACATCTTTCTCAAGCAGGAGAACCTATACCATTTCAGACAACTGGTTATCTAATCTCTTTTGTGGGGGCTCCAAACCCTCCACAGCTGCCCTCTTCTCAGAACCAACAACTTCTGGAGGTAAGTGATTCTACTGGTTAATTGTTTTGTTAGGAAATGTGCCCTTAATTCTAGGTTGGATCTCTCCTTGATTACTTTCACACTATCTATTGTTTCTTGTCACTTGACCATTAGTTGGTCAGATTCTTGTAGAGAGCTTAAACTTACAATACATCTTTATTCTCATTTGAACTCCCTGAATCTCCTGATTTTCCAGGCACTTGACATAAATATCCATGACAAATTATAACTTTTGAGTAAACAACTTTTTGCAGCCCAATATTTTCATAATTTGTAGGACTTCAAAACTGACCTATCTCAGTTGAAATCTTTCCCTGTGGACATGCAACACAGTCGTAGCAGCAGAAACTTTTCTCTTCAGATTTTCTCTTCCAATATCCAGGGTGACAATATTCATTACACAGAGAAACTGGAAGAACCTGCTCATAAAATGAAAAATAGATTGCAGAAATAGTTGCCAAGTTGTTAAGCTTTTTCATCAACTGAAAATATGTGTGTGTGTGTGTGTGTGAATGAGTGAGATAGATAGATAGATAGATAGATAGATAGATAGATAGATAGATAGAAAGACAGACAGACAGACAGACAGACAGACAGACAGACAGACAGACAGACAGATAGATAGATAGATAGATAGATAGATAGATAGATAGATAGATAGATATAACAAAAAGCATGGTCAGCATGGAACAGTTGGAGGCATTTTAATTTTTTCCATTTAAGGAAGCTGTAAAACTATAAGCATTCAATGTATATGTAGGTCCCTACAGTGGTGGGATTCGTGCCGGTTCTGCCAAAGCTGTTGTTAATTTTTTGCATAGTTCAGCAAACTAGTTGTTTCCACCACTGGTTGGCCCTTCCCTTCCCACCGGGGTTGCCATTCAGGATGGGGGAGTTGCAAGGGCATGACTGGGAGCTGCGCTGATCAGCTGGGAAGCAGCAATGGACTAGCAGCACCGATCCACTGGGAGGTTGATCAGTCAGTTCAATCAGACCTTACAACTTCACAAGATCTTTTTTCACCCAAGAAGTTGGAAGATCTGACTGAATTCTTCTTTTGTTGCCCTGCATGCAGGAGAACAGAGCTGGAAAGCAGATTAGTGAGGGAATGGTGGTGGTTCTGAAATGGGATGGAAGTGAGGATTTTGCATTATTTTTGCTCTGGGATGGGGTGGAATTGAGGATTTTGCATTATAATGCAAACACCCGCCCACCCATGCCCACCCAGCAATGCCCACCCATTATTTGTATCCCACCATCGGGCCCCTACCCGATTAAAACCTCTGTGCCATTCAATCTGATATTCATTAATGATCAATTCATTTCCATAAGATGCATCGGGATCTAGTCTTCCAACCTTCACACTCCGGATGGACTTGTTTGGAAAAACGATCATGTTGATGATATCAAACCCTCCTGCAACTTCCCTCTTCTCATTAAAGGACACTCCCTCTCCTGCTGAGTTGTTGAAAGAAGTGCCTTGAAGAAATGGGTGGAGCTACTTGAAAAGAAAGCAGTGAAGTTGAAATAACAATAAGGAAAGAAATCAACATTAGATATTTTATCTTCTATTTCTGAAATTCTTGGATCCTGCAACATTATCCTGGGACATGTATATTCACTTTGCTATGTAAATATCCAGTTTTGCTCAACAGAACAAGAAGTCAGCCCACAAAGTATTGTCAATGAATAACATACACAGGGTTAGGAGATGCAATCTTCCCTGTGGAGAAAGTTAACTGCAATTTCATTGGGGCAGAGAAGATCATTAAGCTTTTTAAAAATCATATAAAATCAACCATTCTTCATGTTTTAGCCCCCTAATCATTTTTGTTTCTCTTCTCTGCACTCTTTCTAGAGTCTCAACATCTTTTTTACATCATGGTGACCAAAACTGAATGCAATGTTTAAAGTGTGGCCATACCAGGCCTTATAAAGCAGTATTAATACTTCACATGATTTTGATTCTATCTCTCTGTTAATGCAATTTAGAATTGCATTAGCTTTTTTGGCAGCTGCTGCATACTGCGGGCTCATATTTAAATGGTTGTCAACTAGAACTCCAAGATCCCTCTCTCAGTTACAGCTATTGAGCAAATTACCACATATACTATACCTGTCCCACGCTTTCCACCACATTAAAAAGTAAACATTTCCTTTTTTCCCAAAACAATAAATCACATTGTTCAATCTGGATACTAGCTGGTTGCCTGGTTATATCTCTTCTCCTCCTCCTGGCCAGCCAGCCATTGGAATGTCCCTGACTCTTCGGAAAGCTATGTTGACTACAAGCCCACATCTACCTCTACCCCATTTCAGCTCCAAGCTGTGTCAGCATGAAGCCATGTGGAAAGAAACCCCAATAGGAAAGACCCATATGCAGAGAGAAAGGAGAACAAGCTACAGTCAGGTCAGCTAAAGGCTTGACATAATAGCTACTTGAACAACATATTAATTAAGGTTTAGCTAATTTTGTGAGCTAATTTATTCTTTATAAAATTCTTCATTGAAAGAAAAGTTTGTTGGAGAAATGTTACCTTAAAAGGTTGTAGTTCTGGAGATTCAGCCACTTTATCTGCCAAAATTTTTCTCAAATTGGATCTCTTGGATAGCATACCATGCAAAGAATGAGCCGCAGCATAAACCCCATTATGGATGCTGTAGCTGTGCCCTGTTATCTTTAATTGAAACAGAGATTCAGGAAGGTTTCCCAGGCCTTCTTCCCCAGTGCATTCTTGACTTCCCAATGACGCCAATCCTGAATTAGGGAAAAAACAGTCAAATGCTTGCTCCCAAAAATGGTTTTGAAATCCATCTCTTTGCCCTGTGTAAGATTTTATGGACCGGAGAAATTCCTCAAATTCCATATTTTCCCTTGAATGAATTTGAAAGGCAATGGCCCCATCATAAAATTGGAGATTCCATACCCTTTGGGTTCCTGTTAATGTGAAATCAATTTGGCTGGTGGTGATCCACACCTTGCTTATGTATGCCTTTCCCGGATTTGCAGCTTCCCATATATATTTGAGAGCTGTCAGCCAGGCTAAGGTCAAAGATTCTCCATACATGGTGTATGCATTTGTTTTAATGTCTGTGAAATGTGTATAAAAATCAAACATTATATTGCTAAATTCGCCCAAGTCGTCCAAACGCAACAATTTTGGAAATCTTTGTATAAAAGATAAACAAATTCCCTGCTGGAAAAACAAGAGCTCCAATTTCTGCAAAAAATGTTCTCCACTCTCAGTGTCTGCAAAAAAGAGCCCAATCCATTTCCATCCAAAATGCTGAAGCAATCGGATAATCCCAATATATTGGGGGACCTCATTTGGGGCCATAAAGTAAAGTGAAGATGATTGACTGGTATCAACTTCTCCCATAGGAAATGATCCGTATGTGAGCTACAAGAAAACACCAAGCCATGAAGTTGAGGAGAGTTTTCATTTTGCCTTATGCTTTTTTATGGATCATTTCAAAAATTGGATAGATATATCAGAGTTTAGTCCTTATCCATAGCTTCTCAAATGTTTGAAAATGTAGATAAATTTCTGGAGAATCATTATTTCATTCAACCTAACAGTAAATGTGTTAAAATGCCAGCAGCATTTTAACACAACACAATGGAGTCAATTCTATTCAACAGAATATAGTTTAGTTCAGTTTATTGTTGTTGCACATCATACAACAAAATTAAATACCATCTTCAGTGTATATTATGATTATGAAAATAAATACAAACACATATTCTTCACATTCTATACAATGAATTGAAACCCCTTGATATTGCACTGTACAATAGAATTCAATAATGTTACTGCTTCGGGATATAAGTTGTTTTTCAGCCTATTTGTCCTTGTTTTTATTATCCTGTACCATCTGCCAGATTGTAATAATTCAAAAACAAAAAAAGTGCCCGGGATGAAATGGATCTTTGAGAATGTATAAGGGGAATACATATTTTATCATGAAAACTATTGTCAAAAAGAAAGCCAATATGCCAAAGTGGTTAAAGTGTCAGACTAGCAATTGGAAGACTTCTAGTCCAACCTTAGGCACAAAACCAGCTGGATGATCTTGGGTTAGCCCTATGAAGTATAGCAAACCACTTCTACAATCTTGCCAAGAATACTGTAGGGACTTATCCAGGCAAGAAGCTAACAAGAAAGTTATAACTAAGACTTAGGGTGTAACTGAAAATTACTTAGCCAGCATAAGTGGTAAGGCATTTGAGTGCTACTTTCCCTTTTTCTGCACAAATATCTTTCCTAGTTGACTCTATGAATGAATGAATGAATGAATGAATGAATGAATGAATGAATGAATG